TAATGAAACTAAATCAACATACCTAGGAGCTAAACTAGAAAACTAACAAAAAGAAATCATAACAAAATTATTAAAAGAGAATTAAAATATTTTTGCAACCCAATTCTCTGAGCTTCGACAAACCAATGTGGTTACATATTCTGTTAATACTTCTGATCACTATCTAATAAAACAACATGCATATAGAGCATCACCAAAAGAATATGAACATATTAAAAAAGAAATAAAGTCTATAGAAAAAGAAGGTATTATTTGACCTTCACAAAGCCCTTGAAGTTCTTCGGTTGTTCTTGTTGTAAAGAAAAATGAAAAATTAAGATTCTGTGTTGATTATAGAAAACTTAATAATATAACAAACAAAGATACATATCTACTGCCTCAAATAGATAAAATGCTTGATGCATTAGAAAAAGCAAAGTGGTTTATATCACTTGACTTAATATCTGGATATTGGCAAGTACAAGTAAAATAAGAAGACAAAGAGAAAACAGCCTTTATAACTAAATTTGACTATACAAATTCAATATCATGCCGTTTGATTTATATAATGCACTGGCAACATTCCAATGGTTAATAGAAAAAGTCTTAAAACCTGTTCTTTAGAAAAAGGCTATAGTATATATTAATAATATCAATATATACAGTGAAACTTTTGAACAACATATAGAAGATATAAAAGAAGTGTTTAGCCTAATCAGAGATGCAAACTTACGAATCAACCCAAAAAAATATCACTTTGATACCAAACAATTAGAATTTTTGGGGCATATAGTGGGCAATGAAGGAATCAAACCAGATTCACAAAAAGTAGAAAAACTTACTAAACTAACATCTTCTAAAAATATAACTGAACTACAAGCATTTTTAGGACTTGCATCTTATTATAGAAGGTTTATAGAAAACTTCTCTAAAAAGGCTACATCATTGTTTAAATTATTACAAAAGATATGGAGTTTATTTGAACAGACGAATATCAATAAATATTTGACTGGCTCAAATATTGTCTTACAACCGCACCAATACTACAATATCCTGATTATGACCAACTATTTTTACTATTTACTGATGCTTCTTATCTGGGATTAGAAGCAGTATTATCACAAATAAAAGAAGGCAAAGAACATGTTATTGCCTATGCAAGTAGAACATTATCATTAGCAGAGAAAAACTATAGTACAGTTGAGCTCGAATGCTTAGCTGCTGTTTGGGCAGTAAAATATTTTAAATATTACATTTATAGATCAAAATTTACATTTATAATTGATCATAAAGCTTTACAATAGTTATTAAACAACACCACTCTCAACAACAACAAAAGGATAGCACAATAGCAGCTTATTCTACGAATACCAGTATGATATTAAATATTGCTCTGGTAAATATAACCAAAATGCAGATTTCTTCTCATGCTTACCTATAACAAAAACAATAGATAATGGATAACAAGTTATATCAAGAAATATACCAATATCTATCTAACTTAATATTTCTACCAGACACTACTAACTTGGACAAATCTCAAATTCAAAAAGAATATATACATTATTTTATTTAAAATAATCAATTATTTTGACGAAACAAAAATAAAGCCCAACATATGATAAAGCAAAGCCAAAAAAATGTGATATTATATGCCCTACATGATGAGCAAAGTACTCATCTAGAAATAGAATCGATCTACAATAAAACTAGAGAAAGATATTATTGGTCTACAATATATGAAGATATTAAAAATTATATAAAACCTGTGATATTTGCTAATGAAGAGATAATGAAATTAGAAGACAAACCCTACAACCACTTGAAGTTAAAGCACCATTTCATTGAGTAGAGATTGATATAAAAGGGCCTTTACCAATCACAAAAGAAGGCAATAGATATATTATTGTAGCCATAGACTATCTAACTAAATGGCTAAAAGCACGAGCTACTTCTGATATGAAAGCTGAAACTGTCGCAAAATTCATATATGAAGATATAATTTGTTGATATGGAGCACCAACGATCTTATTAAGTGATCGTGAAAGAAACTTTATAAGTGAACTAATTCAGAAATTGTACAATAATTTTCAAATTAAACATCACAAATCTTCTGCATATCGGCCTCAAACAAATGGTATGATTAAAAGATTTAATAGAACAATAGGTGAAGCAATAGCTAAAATTAATAGCTATGACTATAAAGAATAGAACCAAATATTGCTATCTGTTCTATTGGTCTATAGAACTATGAAGTATAGTATAACAAAATTCACACCATTCTCTTTAATTTATGAAAGAGATGCTAAATTTCCAATAGAAACTATTATTGAAACCTATTATGATGAAGATATATCTTTTAATGAAGCTCTAATAAAATGAATATTTGAAATAGAAGATATAACTTTAAAACAACAAAAGAAGCTATTGAAAATATTAAACAAGTACAACGAATACAAAAAGAAGCTCATGATAAAAATATTAAAAACTCTGAATTAAAAATTGGTGACAAAGTTTTAGTAGCTCAATCTCATCTTAAAAATGTCTTCTCTGCAAAATTAGAAGAAAAATA